GATACCGACAGGTATAACTATGAGTTTTCCTTTTCTCTTTCTTAGTAAAAAGAAAGCTGAGGTTTTTTGAAAGCTTTATAAAATAACCCTTTGATATTAGAGTGTGTTTATAGTTCTCCAGTTCTACCCTCTGATGACCTATACAAATCAGCAGAGGAGGTGCCGATGAGTCATGCATCTGTGCTTTTAGTGGCTTTGAGCTTTTACTTGTTTTCACTGTCTCCAGGTCCTTTTATGGGTTTCCGGTTGCCATATCTCTATTTTTTTAGTTGTATAAATATGTTACTTGATTGGAAAGTAGTAATGTGATCACATAGAAGTTTCCTTGCCTTTGTTTGTCCATTGGCTCTCCCAGAGTACCTTATTAACTCATTAAATGTTAATGCTTCTGCTGATAACATTAAAGTTAATTTTCAGAAGTTAGTACGTCAGTTTATTTTATCCTGGCTGGTTTGTGTATGTGTTACTCTCAGTCTTTGGGTGGAGTAAAGACTAATTTGCTCTGAAAATAATTCATTAGGAACTTGCCGTGTCATGCTTGTTTTCAAACACAACCATCATTACTGTCTGATTCTAGAACATATTCATTACCAACCGTGCCCCCCCACCAAAGAAACCCCTTACCCATTAAGCATTTGCTGTCCATTTCCCCTTCCTGGTAACCATTCATCTGTTTTCTGTCTCTATAGATTTGCCTGTTCTGGATATTCATATAAATAGATCATACAGCATGTGTCTAGCTTCTTTCACTTAGCTTAATGTTTTCAGGGTTCATCAATGTTGTAGCATGTATCAATTCTTCATTCCTTTTATGGCTGAATAATATTCAATTATATGGATATACCACATTTTGTTTATCTGCTCATCAGTTGATGGACATCTGGGTTGTTTCTACTTTTGGGCTGTTACGAGTAATGCTATCAACATTCACAAGTTTTTGTTACTACACCTGTTTTCATTTCTCTTACTTGGGTATATACCTAAGAGTGGAATTGCTGGGTCATATGATAATTTTGTCTTTTTAATTTCTTGAGTAACTGCCAAACTGTTTTCCATAGCAGCTGTATCATTTTACGTTTCCCACCATCAGTATATGAGGGTTCTGATTTCTCCATGTCTTTGTTAACACGTATTTTCCATTTTTGATTATAGCCATCTTAGTGGGTGTAAAGTATCAGTAGTATCTCATTGTGGTTTTTATTTGCATTTCCCCAGTGAGTAATGATGTTGAACATCTTTTTTTTTTTTAATTTATTTACTTATTTATTTTTGGCTGCATTGGGTCTTCGTTGTTGCGCACGGGCTTTCTCTAGTTGCGTTGAGCGGGGGCTGCTCTTTGTTGGGGAGCACGGGCTCAGTAGTTGTGGCTCGCGGGCTCTAGAGCTCAGGCTCAGTAGTTGTGGCGCACGGGCTTAGTTGCTCCGCGGCATGTGGGATCTTCCCGGAGAAGGGCTCAAACCCATGACCCCCGCATTGGCAGGCGGATTCTTAACCACTGCGCCACCAGGGAAGCCCGATGTTGAACAACTTTTCATGTGCTTATTGGCCATTAATATATCTTCTATGGAGAAATGTCTGTTTGAGGGTCCTTTGCTCATTATTTAATTGGGTTGTGTATCTTTTTGTTGTCGAGTTATAAGAAAATAGAAATTCTTGGACTTGCTTGGAGCAGAGAGTAGGATCAGACTGACTTCAGGCTTTTGCCACACATACTTGTATGTTAGTCTTGCTGCCACAGGTGAGTCAGTTACACCTCCACTTCCAAGAATGCAAGGTGTTGCCCTTACTTCCGCTCTCAGAAGGCACACCTTTATTCACCTACCCCTTTACCATGCCTACAGGCCAAACTCCATAGTAAACACTGTTGATTTGATCCTCTTGCTCTTCTTGTAAGATTAGAGTAAACTAAAGACAACTGAAATAGTAAAACTTGTTTTATTTGCTCATTTGGAAGACTTGTAGAGTTTTAATAGTCCTATTGATAGACACTTGGCTTTCTGACCCTGGAGAAGCAGAAGTAAAACAGTGTATACGAGGAAATGTCTTGCTTTTGTAAAATTTGTTTTCATGAGACGTCTTTATTATGTACTGTGTACATTTATTTCTCATATATGATGGAACTTAGAATAGTGTCCTATGAGGGCTATAATTTTTAGGGTTTTTTGGTTTGTTTTAGAAAGGAATCAAGGACCTCAGGGTTGTGATACTGGTAGAGGTCTTTGTGCATCGTTTTTCTGATCTCTTTTACGCAGATCCTGAATCAAATACTTGTCATGTTTAGTATATTGTTAATAGATTTATACAACATGCAGTTCTCAGTTGTGGCATTGTGTGGTCTCTGAAGGACATTTTTTTTGCATCTTTATTTCCTGACTATAGCATTTCAGCCCTTCTCATAATTTCCTTGGGCGTAATTATACTGATACTTCTACAACGCTTGTGTTGGATCTGTACAAAGCCCAGTGTCTCCTTTGAAGTTAGGAGGTGAAATTATTTATCCTGACATTACAGTACACATACTCTTAGGGCTCATCTGTGACAGTTAAAATATTGGGTAGTTTTCCTTCATGAAGTTTTAGGATCAGGTCTCAAAGAGCTATAGACTTTTTATTTTCATTTTTTTGACTGCACCACGTGGCTTGTGGGATCTTAGTTCCCCGGCTAGGGATTGAACCCAGACCCTCAGCAGTGAGAGCTTGGAGTCCTAACCACTGGACCACCAGGGAATTCCCTAGACTTTTTAAAGTTGGAAGATATCCTAGAGGCCACTTGATGGAGCACCCCCCTCCCCTGCCCCCAACCATTTCTGACATGTTTTGTCATGGTTCCTACTTGAACACATCCAGTGATTTCTAGTCATCTCATCCTTTTTCCTGAACTACTCTTCTTTTGGTTTCTATGACACAGTGTCCCTCCTTTTTAGTGTTACTTGCTGGTTCCTCCTCTTCCTTTCATTCTTATTAAATGTTGACTTTTATAAGGCTAAGTCCTCTTATTCTGAGTTCCTTCTCTAGGAATTTCATTCTCATGGCTTCAAGTACTACCTATATGTAAAATTGTATCTCTAGCCCAGACTTCTTCTGTGAACTTCACACCCAATCTGTTTTTTTTTTAAATATCTTTATTGGAGTATAGTTGCTTTACAATGGTGTGTTAATTTCTGCCCCAATCTATTTCTCTTCTCACATCTCACTTGGATGTTTCACAGGTACCTTAAACTCAATGTGTCTAAAACTAAACTTATAATCTTTTTTTCCAAACCTGGTCCTCTTGGGAGGTATTCTTGACACTCCCCCCCCCCGCCAATTTCTGATAAATAATGAAGGTTATGGTGAAAGACTTGGTGAAGTCCTCTTGTTGATTTTTTTCTTGAATATTTCTTTTTTGCGGTACGTGGGCCTCTCACTGTTGTGGCCTCTCCTGTTGCGGAGCACAGGCTCTGGACACGTAAGCTCAGCGGTCATGGCTCATGGGCCTAGCCACTCCGCGGCATGTGGGATCTTCCCGGACCGGGGCACGAACCCATGTCCCCTGCATCGGCAGGCGGACTCTCAACCACTGCGCCACCAGGGAAGCCCTTGAATATTTCTTGAATCTATTCTTCTCTAGCTCCATTACCACCACTAAGATACTGTCATCTCTTTCCAAGATTATTGCAATGGCTTCCTAGTAGGTTTCTCAACATTCACACTTGTATTCTCTAACCCAGTGCTTCCCAACCCTTTTTACATCACAGCACCTAGAGGAGTATTTGCATGATTCACTGGGGTAAGTGGACAAAGGGTGCTCAAGGTGGAGGCAACTGCCCAGGGGGGCTTTGGCTGCCCTGAACGCACCCGGCCACTCTAGGGACTCAAAGGATCAATATCTTGGACACATCTATTACCCATTCATGACTCACTGGGCTTTCTGCAGGAAGCTCTGCTCTAACTCATTCTCTGTGTTGCAGCCAGAGTAATTTTTTATTTTCAATGGAAATTTGATTTTTTTGTTTCTCCCACTTAAGACCTTGTGGCTTTTCATCATCTTTAAGATAAATACCAAATTTTTAATATGCTTATGACCCTGTATGATCTGACTCAATCTCACCAGCCTCATCCTTCTATATTATCTATCCCTCCCTGCCCCACCCCGCACTTCAGTACTTCAGCCTCACTGGCTGTCATTTAGTTCCCAAACATGTCTTGCTTCATTTGACCTTTGCTCTTGCTGCTCCATTTGCCTGGAATTGCTCTTTCCCCATGCTAACCTCTCCACTTTATTAATTCCTACTCATCCTTCAGAGCTTGTTCAAAAGTGCTTCTGTGATTTCCTTGATTATACCAGGTGTTTCCTCTATTAGACACTGTGCTTTTCCCTTGGAGCCCTTATTGCAATGGTGGTTAAATGTCTGTGTGCCCTGCAACAGCGTAATCTCTGTGAATAAGTGTTTGACTTGTTCACTGCTTTAATCCCAGTGCTCTTTGGGTCTAACATATATTGAGTGCTCAATAAATGTTGGTTAAATTAATTATGTCAGTTCTTGGTACTGAGGATGAAGCTTTAATCAAGTCAGAGAAGATTCCCTACTGTTATGGAACTTACATGCAGATACAGACAGTAAAGGTACAAACAAGAAAATATCATGTAGTAAAGGTGATATTTTAGAGAGTTATTGGGGAGGCCTCTCTGAAAAGGTGAAATTTCAGCTAAGATCTGAATGAAAAGCAGCAGCTAGCCACTTAAAAGTATCCAAAGGAAGAACATTCCAGGTTCTTAGAAGGCACAGATGATGCAAATGTCTTACGGTTGGAAAAAGTTTGGTGGAATTGTTTAAGCAAGTGAAAGGGGGAAGAGTCATAATAAGGTTGGAGTGGTTGGCAGGGACCAGATCATGCAGGGTCTTATTGCCCAGGTTAAGGAGTTTGGATTTTATTCGAAGTGTCATGGGAAGACTTTCAAGGGTTTTGAGCAGAAAGTAACCTGAATTACATGTTAAAATATCCATGACAAACATCCAGGAGAGGATGATGGAGGCTTGGACTAGGATGGTAGCAGTGGAGCTGGATCGAAAGAAGAGGATGGTTTCGGGATATATTTGGAAGTAAGTTAAGACTGATGGGTGGCTGTGGGGGGATATTGGGTTCGAGGAAAAGAGAAGAATCAGGGATGGCTTTTGTTGGCTTTTGTATTTTTTTGTCTCTGTGGGGTTTTTTTTGTTGTTGTTTTTGCGGTACGCGGGCCTCTCACTATTGTGGCCTCTCCTGTTACGGAGCACAGGCTCTGGACGCACAGGCCCAGCGGCCATGGCTCACGGGCCCAGCCACTCCGCGGCATGTGGGATCTTCCCGGACCGGGGCACGAACCCGTGTCCCCTGCATCAGCAGGCGGACTCTCAACCACTGCACCACCAGGGAAGCCCTCTGTGGTTTTTAAATTGAGCAATTGGATAACTGCCATTCAGTGAGATGGAGAAGACTGGGAGGGTGTGGGGTGACTATAAATCAGTTGTGCTTGTTTTAGACATGTTAAGTTTGGGTTTGACATCCAGGAAGATATGTTTTATAAGCAATTTGATGTGTAAATCTGGAATTAAGGGGAGGTCTAGGTTGGAGATATAAATTTGGGAGTCATAATGATGTTTAAAGCTATGAGACTAGATGAGAGTTTCTAAGAGAGAGTGATGGAGAGAAGTTAAGGACAGCTTTCCAGAAAATGTCAACATTTTGAAGTTGAGCAGAGGAGGAGTAGTCAGCAAAAGAGAACTTAGAAGGGGTAGCCAGTAATGTAGGAAGAAAATAGGAGTGTGGAATCATGAAAGCTAAGAGAGGAAAGTATTTCAAGAATTGTGTTGAATGCTGTTGATGAGTAAGAACGGGTTGAGTAAGAAGAGAATAGAGAGTAACCACTGCTTTGGGCAACATAGAGATCGTTGGTGACCTGGACTACAGTAAGTTCAATAGGGTAGATGGGAAGCATGATTGGAGAGGTTTGAGGAGATAATGGGAGGTAAGGAAGTGGAGGCAACTACTAAACAATTGGTTCAAGAGGTTTTGCAAGAAGGGGAGGAGAGAAAGGAGGCAGTACCTACAGGGGAATGTGAGGACAAGAAAGGTGTTTTTTTTGTGTGTGTGTGTGACTTGCCTTACCAAGAAGGAATTTGCAGAGAAAGAGACATTGAAGATTAGGAAGAAAGAAAAAGGATAACTGTGGGAGTGAAACTTTTGAGAATGGGATGGATTCAACACCCAAGTGGAAGGGTTGTGTTTCTGCTTCTATCAAAACACAACCCCTCTATCCATTTTAACACAGGGAAAGAAGAGAGTATATGTATAGGTAGGTGTAGGTCAGGTGGTAGATTTGGTAGTGGAAAGAGATAATTCTCATCAGATTGCTGCTGTTTTCTCAGCTGGGAATGAGAGGGGAGGAGAGAGTATAGATTTGAGGAGACAAGATAAAGTATGAAATAGTTACTTTGGAGAGCAGAGAATTTTTTAAAATTAATTTATTTTTGGCTGCATTGGGTCTTCGTCGCTGCACGCAGGCTTTCTCTAGTTGTGGCGAGCGGGAGTTACTCTTTGTTGTGGTACGCGGGCTTCTCGTTGTAGTGGCTTCTCTTGTTGCGGAGCATGGGCCCTAGGCATGAGGGCTTTAGTAGTTGCGGCGCACGGGCTCTAGAGCACAGGCTCAGTAGTTGTGCTTCACGGGCTTAGTTGCACCGCGGCATGTGGGATCTCCCCGGACCAGAGCTCGAACCTGTGTCCCCTGCATTGGCAGGCGGATTCTTAACCACTGTGCCACCAGGGAAGCCCTGGAGAGCAGAGAATTTAATATATTAAGAAAATTTAATAGAATTTCTGGACACTGGTGAGTGCCTATTTGAGATTCATAGTCCTAAATTTAAAGTAAAACCATGCAGCACACTTAAGTGTTTTTCTCCAGCAGCATTCAGCTATTTGGGTACAAACATGGAGTAGGTAGATGGTTGAGTTTATTTTAGCTTGGGTTGGTATTTTGCCAGGGAAGTGCAACAGAGGGAGAGAGGGGCAAAAGGGAGTTCAGAGGGGAATAAATATAAATGAAGGACTGTGGAAGCTGAGCTGGGTGGAAGGGGAGAAGGTCATGGAAGCAGAATGAATAATGAAAAACTTGTTGAGTGATATGGTTGAAGAAGTGCTGGAGGGAGAGTTACCAGATCGAAATGACCTGGAAAAATAGGAAGTAGTGGCGGTGAAATTGAAATTCTGGAGGTGGTACAGTTACTGGTGTTGTCAAATCTCTAGGGTATGAACATGGGCTGGGTGGCTTAGGTGGGGTAAAGTAAAAAATGTGAGGGGAGAGAAGGTCATGGTATTGGATGGATCATCTCCATTCTTGTTGAAGTCACCTCAAGTGGTGCAGCAGTGGTGGAGAGGAAGAGCCTCTGATGAATGAGGGGCAGTACCCAGGATATTGGTAGATTGGTAGATTGCAGCAGCAAGGAAGGGAGAAGAGGATGGTACACCATGATGCTACAACTTCAGGAACCAGGATTTTTGGAGGAAAAAAAGAGGAGAAATGATTTGGCAGTAGGCTTGAATGAATGAATGGAATGATGCATGGATGGAAATTTATGCTTTCATTAGGCAACTTTCATGGAAAGTTAAAATCCCTATGTGCTAGATTCAGTTCTACCTTTTAAGACTCCCTCTTTTTTCAGAAGAGAGGTTGCTAAACTGTAGCCTGCTGACCAGATCTGTCTTGCTTGTTTTTGTGTTTTTTAGAACACAGCTATGCCCATTTGTTTGCACGTTTTTTATGTTACTTTTGCACTGTAGTGGCAGAATTGAGTAGTTGTGACAGAGACAACCCCACAAAGCCTAAAATATTTACTGTCTGGCCCTTTATAGAAGAATTTTGCTGACTTCCACTTTTGAAGATTCTCAAACTTCAGTTTGCATCAGAATCACCAGGAGAGCTTGTGAAAACAGATTGCCAAGCTCCACCCCTAGAGTTTCTGATTCAGTAGGTCTGGGTTGGGGCCCAAGAAAATGCATTTCTAACAAGTTCCCCAGTGTTGATGGTGCTGCTGGTCTGGGGACCATACTTTAAGAGCGATTGTTTTAGATATTTAAGTTGGTGATTGGGTTCCTTCTCCCCTTAATATTCTTTGAGCCAAATGTCCCTACCTACATCAGCTGTTTATCGCTTGACATGATTATTGGCTTATCGTTTTAAGTTTGGTGCCTATAAATATAATGATTCTTTGGCTGAAGCCTGATCTCTGCCATATGCATTGGAACAGTTGCCTCTCCTTGCTCTTCATTTACCTGTGAGCTTGTTTTCTTTCTTTCTCAGGTTGTCTGATGTACTGGTCTTTCTCTGGGACTTAAATGAAGCTTGTGTGTTAGGGAGGGCAATAGTAGATAGAGATCACATAAACTTTAGGTGGACTAAAAGGCTAAAAACACTATCATTTGGAAGAAATAAGAATCCACCCTCTCCCCCCACCACCATCACCTGGTATATCTCTGCTCTAAGGTACTTGAGTAGAGCAGAGGTTTATCTTGGGTACATTGAGCCATGTGATCATAGGTGGGATTTGGGAGTCTGACCCTATATGGTAGCAGTGTCAGAGTCTCTTTAGCAGGTAGGTAAAAGAACATCTGGGAGAAAAACCAAGGTCATTGCTCAACTTGATCCAAGTCTTTTGTCCCTGTCTTTCAGCAGAGGAACCTCTGAAAGATGTCTTGAAAGCAGTTTCTAAAAGATGCAGAGACAGTAACCCCTTCTTAGATTTCTCTTTATTCTCCTGCTCCATGCCTAAAATTGCTTTCTCATTCTTTCAGCTTGTCTCCCAGCCATATGTAGCTCAGCAGTTACCTTGTAGCCTAGTTGTGTCCCTAATGGTGAAGTGGATAAACCCAGATGAGTTCACAAGTGGACATCTGTCCTTGGATCACTTGTCTCTTATCTTCAAATTCCTGGTCACATTTGGCCAGCCTTTCCTGCCTCTGGTGAGTGCTCCTCACCCATTCAGGCTGTTGTAGTACTTGCACTTTCAGATCTCTGCCCATCGTGTCTCATTTCCCTTTCTGAGTTCTCATTGTGCCCCTGCACTGCCTTTGTTTTTCTCTTCTTCCTCTTTGTTTCCCTGCCTTCTTCACATTTTACCCTGGCCGCCAAGACATGCCTCCTCAGCCTTCAGTGAATTCTTGGCCTCTTGCTAAACTTCCCCATTATGGGCAGCTGGCCCCCTCTGGCCATTTTACAGTTCTGCAGACTGAGAGAACATGAGATTCATTGAAGCTCTTGAGTTCTTCTTAATTTGGTGTTACCCAAATCTTCATTTTACAAGTGGGGAAATAAAAGGTGAGAGGGGAAAAGACTTTTCTATACCCTAAGATAATACAAACAGGAAAAATATTAATTTAGAGAAAGAGACAAAGTTCCTACGAAAAGAAGAAGTCTATAGAGATAGTGTCACAAGATGAATTACCTCAGGAGTCTATTTGAGAGATTGTGTCATGTTGGAAAAGTTCTAGGGACTTGAGCCTCTTTCCTTTGTGAGAGGATGAGAATGAAACACCAGCCCCTCAGTCTGACTCCCAGAAAGAAGAACTTCAGGCTGATGAGCAATAAGTCCAACAATGTCATTTCCCTGGCCATGCTGAGCCCCACAGGAAATCTCAGAATTTTACGTGAGGACAAGGCCCCACAGGAATGTTGCCGCACCTAGAGCTCTGTGGTTTGATGCCAGGAGAGAATTTCCTACAGACAGGGTTCTGAGGGAGATTGCTCAGTAAGATGGAAAGGTGCTGCAGTGAGGCCAGCAAATGCCTTCCCAGGACTCCCGGTGGAAGGTGGGGGTTTCACATGCCTCCTAGAGTTTCCACAGCAATTATTATCCCCTTGTAGTGCACAGTGGCCCTGACACTGACATCACATGGAGCAGTTTCTCAAGGATTTTCAACTCCAGGACGTGGGAAATGGGGATGGTTTTATGGTTTTACAAGTTGACCTGAGAATAAAGCGTAAGGGCTTTGACCCTTAGGGCCTGTTTGTGGGAGCAAGGTTTTCATGTCCCCATCAGGATCAGTGAGGTCTGAGTTTTAAACCTGTTTATCTAGGGGCAGAGGTTAGAGGGCAGTGTCAAAAACTGAAAACCACCTTGAAGGAGAATGGTCATTTTTTGCCTTTGCTTCCTCCGATGGGTATTCCTCATTCAGGTCAGGAGGGAAAACTAAAAAGGAGTGTGTGTACAAGTAAATCAGTAAGGCATCATTTCCCACGATAAATGCACTTGTATTCAACTATTGAGTTCCTATTATGAACCAGCGATTCTTCTAGACACTGGGACTATATTAGAGAGTAGAACAAAGTGTTGCCCTCATGGACCTTTCCTTCTCATAAGAGAAAACAGACAGACAAATACCACTTCAGGTGGCGATAGGTGCTAAGGAGGAAAATCAAGGTGAGGAGAATAGAGAGTATGGAGCCGCATATGATCAAGAAGGCCTTTCCCATAAGGTGACACTTGAGAAAGACCTGAAGGACGTGAAGGAGCAAGTAATGTAGATATCTGGGGAAGAGAGTTCCTACACAAAGGGACCCAAAGGCAAAGGACAGGCAGGAGCATAGCTGGTGGGTTGGAGGAACAACTTGGAGGCCAGTGTGGCTGGAGCTGAATGAGAGAGAGAGAGGGAGGAGTCATGGGACGGGAGGTCCGAGTCAGCTTAGAGCAGGAGTGTACGTGGCTTTTTGAAACGGCTTTTGCCTTTTATTTTGAGAGAGGTGGAAAGCCATTGGAAGGTTTTAAATGTTGAAAGATGACTCTGGCCACTGTGTGGAGAAGAAACTGAAGGGGGTCAAGGACAGAAGAAAGGAGACCACTTAGGAGGCTCTTCATTAAGGTCAGATTCTGGATGCATTTTGAGATAGCACTGACAGGATTTGTTGTTTGATTGGATGTCAGATGTGAAAGAAAGAAGATTTCAAGGATGACACTGAAGTTTTTGTCTTGAGTTGCAGGAATGGAGTTGTTATTTACAGGAATGGGGAAGAGCAGGGTCCACAGAGTTTCTGATTTGACTAGTGGTTTTAACCTGTGGAGATTCAAGGAAGAAAAAGTTTAACTTAGTCATTGGTTCCTTAATTTTTTCCATTCTCTCTGATGGTCTCATTTGTATTTGGGTCAGTTCTATGACAGTTATTTCTGGGATAAGTACAATCCCAGTATTCTAACTTTTAGGGATCCTTACCTAGGCCTCTGTGATTCAGTGTGGGTAGAAGCTGTGGGTCCAAAAGAACCTTGGGATAAACTCGGTCTCTGGGAGCATCCTTCATTTCAGGTGCTATATTGGTGTCCTAAGGCTGCATAACAAGTTACCACAAACTGGGTGGTTTAAAACAACAGAAATTTATTTTTTCACAGTTCTGGAGGCTGAAAGTCCAAAATCAAGGTGTTGCAGGGCCATGCTCTCTGAAGGGTCTAGGGAAGACTCCTTCCTTTCTTCTTTCTAGCTTATGGTGGTTGTGGGCCATCCTTGGCGCCTTCCTAATCTTGCAGATGCAACCCTCCACTCTCTGCCTCTATCAATGCATGGCATTTCCCCTGTGTATCCCTTTGTTTTTACGTGGCCTTCTTATAAGGACACTAATCATTGGATTTAGGGGCTGCCCTAATCTAGTATGACCTCATCTTAACTTGGTTACATCTGCAAAGACCGTATTTCCAAATAAGGTCACATTCACAGGTACTGGGGGTTAGGACTTCATCATGTCTTTTTGTGAGACACAGTTCAACCCACATCATGTGCTTTGGTCTGGGTTTGACTATGAGGGTCTTCTGGGCTTAGGTATGTTTGAGGATGAGACAGGAGCTATTGAAATAGTTAGAAAGCAGGTCTGTGCTAGAGATGCCCCATCTGTTGGGATGAAAAAAAATTTTTTTAATGTCCACTAAGTCTATTTAAACTAAAGATGTAAAGACAGGTTCATTTTACATTATTTTTGAAACTTGAAGACTTTAGGATATGCAGTAGTAAAAATCATGAAAAAGTAATGAAACTGGAAGTGGAAGATAGAAGGAAGAGATGTGACAGAGTGAAGAATTTTAAAGCTGAGAATTACAACCTGAATTTGATTGGCCAGAGGCCTGGGCAGTAGGGAGAAAAGCTCTTGCTGATGCTCCAAGTTTATGGTTTTGCTAGCTGGGGCAGCAAGTTGGCAGAGATGGAATGCAACAGACCTGGGCTCCTGAGCACTGGCTGACCACTGCCAGGATAGAACCCCACTTGCTCCACAAGCCTTTTCCTTAGATTCCTATGGGTCTGGGACCCAAAAGGTGCCCAGAATGGTGCATGGCACTTGCTGTCTAGCTGCTGCACAACACATAGTACATGTACATTTTTCAGCTGTGTATCAGAAGTTACTAGTATTTGCCTCTTTTTTACTCACCACAAGTTGTTTATCAAAGGAAGTTTAAGTTCCCACTCTGATATCACAGTGATAGGACTATATCAGGTTTAGCAGTGTAATTAAACAAATTTCCTCAGCCATAGAATTATCGTGGTCACTGTGAGTTTTTGTGGAGCTCCTGTTCTTTTGTAAGGAATTGTGTGCAAGTTGGACAGATGGGAGATGAGTAAAGAGATCGGGCTCTTTCTAGCCTTCAAGAAATTTGAAGTTAGAAGACAAATAGGAACCAGAGGTTCACATAAGAACTATGATAAAGATTTGTGGGATTAGCAGATGCAAACTATTATGTATAGGATGGATAAACGGTGGGGTCCTGCTGTGTAGCACAGGGAACTATGTTGTGTCCTATGATGGACCATGGTGGAGGGGAACATGAAAGAATATATATGTGTGTAGCTGGGTCACTTTGCTGTGCAGCAGAAATTGGCACAGCATTGTGAATCAACTATACTTCAATAAAATTTTACTAAAAAATACTGTGGATGCCTCAGCATTTGGCACCTAAAGGAAACTATAAAGTCTCTAAATGTATCATTTAAAAAATATCTGGGGCTTCCCTGGTGGCGCAGTGGTTGAGTCTGCCTGCTAATGCAGGCGACACGGGTTCGAGCCCTGGTCTGGGAGGATCCCACATGCTGCGGAGCAACTGGGCCCGTGAGCCACAACTGCTGAGCCTGCACATCTGGAGCCTGTGCTCCGCAACAAGGGAGGCCGCGATAATGAGAGGTCCGTGCACCGCGATGAAGAATGGCCCCCGCTTGCCGCAACTAGAGAAAGCCCTCGCACAGAAACGAAGACCCAACACAGCAAAAATAAATAAATTAATTAATAAACTCCTACCCCCAACATCTTCTTTTTAAAAAAAGAAAAAATCTGGACAGAGAGTGGGAAAAATTAAGAGGCAGGGATATGTAGAAGGGGCACCGGAGAGGTTTATTGGTGAAGGCCTCAGGTAATAGAAGCACTTCATTCCATTTTCCTGTCTCAGAGGTTGGGGATGAGTTCCCAAGCAAGGCCTGAGACCAGGCTACTTACCTGCCCTCTGCCCCAGCCTTTCCCTGGCTTCCCCAGGTCACCTGGGCACTTCAGTAGTCAAAGTGAACCCCCAGCTGCTTGGGTGAAGGGAGGAGGGGTGAGGGAAGGGCACTGGCTGCATCTGGGCTAGGGCTCTGCATTTCTGGCTCTAGTGTGGCTCAGTCACATGCACCCTGGGGAGAGGATTATTTTGAGTATTCCCCAAAAATGGAGACTTCATTTCATGTCTGTTAAGTGGGAATGCAGCCACAACGGTGTCCTCAGGGCAGGGACCAGTGGTGAAGCCACCATACTTCTGGGGTGACCACAGGGCAAATAATGTACAGACATCATTTCCTTTGACTAATCTTTTGCTAATCCTGGTCCAGGTGTGGCTCCTGAAAGTAAAGTTCTTTGTCTTGAGATTTTTAATTTAGGACCCAGATGGGGTAGGAGGTAAACTTTCAAAAGGTCTGTTTTACTCAGTGTGTCACTGTCCTGGATTCCTGGCAGGCAGCAGTTTCATTAGAAAAGCAGATTTCATCTTGACTCATCTGCCTTGGTGAGACGTGTGATGCAGCCTATCTATCATCTTGCTGGACAGAGCAGAGGGTATGCTGTCCATTTTGCAGCAGTGGCAGCTACAGGCGCCTGGCCTGGGCCATGGAAAACCTTGAGAGACAATCTGTTATGGGGCCAGAGCTTTGTCCTGGAATTTCCTGGCCTTTGTCTGTCTGGTATAACTTCATGTACCAAGACGCCTGTTTTTAGAGTCTACTTCCTTCTGGGGGAAGAGTGCTATTGCCATCCAGAGAGCACTCCTGCTTCCTGTACTGAGCAACCCCCTCCCTGTGCCCAGGGGTCGGGCTGGGGGAACACTCTGGGCAGGTGTGTATACTTGGCTCCCAATAGACAATAGGCTCCTGGAAGTCACTGGTCACAGAGAAGCCATAACCATTGGGCATAGAAGCTGCATCTACCAGCTTGGCACATTCCCCCTGGTCCTAATCCTTATTTCCTTCTCATGTTGCAGCAGAAAAAATCCTACCTGGAGCGGAGTGTGAAGGAAGCTGAGGACAATATCCGGGAGATGCTGATGGCACGAAGGGCACAGTAGGAAGCCTCTAGGGAAGCTCTTCCTCCTGACCCCTGCCATTCCTGGCCAGGGGCCTGTATAGGGAAACTGCTTCTGCTCTGCCTGATGGACATTTTGTCTGGATGGTCTGGTAACCCTATGTTTTATGCGTCACCTGGAGCCCCTTTCAGATCCCATCCCTGTATTTTTTATCCTGGCTCTGCCTGCCACCCTTCTTCCCTGGGGGTGAGTCATGAACCCCCAGGAGAGGGAAGATGGGAGCCGGGACAGATAGGAGAGCTCTTCCTGGGCCTACGACTAGTCACGCTGGTCAGACCAATAAAAGACATCTGTCCCACTCCGCTAAGTCTGCTTTTCTTGAGCTGATGGATGAGAACAGAGGATCAGAGAGGCAGAGGCTATCTCCACCTCAGCTCCTCCCTGTTCTCCTCCATGGCTGTGGGCCTCCTCCTTCTGCATTGAAGCCTTGCCTTCTTTTTTCTGTTCCTTTAGGTAAACCCCTCAACTTCTAAGCCTCCATGTAGTATGCAGATAAGGAAAAGGAGAGCAGGGCACAGCTGAATGAATGTAAGTGGACACAACAGTGGTGCCTCAGTGGCAGTCTGCCTAAAGATTCCTTTCCCACTTCCTCCCACTGTAAAAGAAAATCTGGTAATAAACCAGCAGCACTCCAAGACAGTCTCCCTTTGGTCAGTTCATAGGGTGGACATTACAATCCTGAGGCCTCCTGGAGGCGTGGGGGCAGTGGTGTGCTGGCGCTGGCTCGGGAGAGCCAATTATTTAATTTTCAGGAATTTTGTTGCAAGCCAGTTGTTAAACAGTAGCCATTATTAAAAATTAAGTTTGTAAATTTACCATTATATTAAAAATAAGGTTAATAAGTATTTAGAACTTACCCCTTCCAAATTACTTTACTAAATTTAGCCATTATCTGTGTTTTTGAGGTGAGCAGTCTGTTGTATCTGGATGGTGGAAATACTGCATAGCAGTGCACTGCTGCCCTTGTCTTCCCAACTCCATGTTCAGGATATCACGTTGGTAGCTTGAAATCCGCTACGGTGGGACCCACCATTTACTCCACAGAAATCAGGTGATGCTACAGAATCTTGGCTTTTTGTTTGTTTTTAAAGAGAGCTGGTAGGTATTTATCAGCACCTGGCTGATTCAGAGGGAAAGTGGGCAGACGAGGAGGTTAGGCAAGGAGCTGTCAACTATGCCTCTCAGGGATGGCCAGCTGAAGAAGGAAAATTAGACTTGCTGCTATGGTGGCTCAGCGCCACCCTGCGGCCAAAACTGAGATGGATGGTGTGGCTGACTAGTTTGTATTATGACAGCTCTCTTCTTTGTGTGTCAGTGGACAGGGGTTGGGTTCTGGGAGGGGACAGCAGGAAGCGAAAGCCTCAGGTCTCGACCTGAGCCCCAACTGTGGCTTCTCCTTCCAGAGCAGGCCCTGGGGCAGCCACAGTTACCAAGATGCCCTTTCCTATGCTCTGGGTAAAAGCCAGTGTGGCTCCTTGGTGAGTCCATATCTCAGTGGGACTAGGGAGAGAGAGAATGCTCGCTCGGTGAGGACTCCTTGACCTGGCTGAAGGACACCTGGCCTTGGACCCTGCCTTCCTAGTAGCAGCCAGGATGAAAAGGTAGATCGGCTCCTCATCATATACTGGACAGTGGCTGAGAAACCCAGGGTTTAGATTGTATCTGGAATAACTGAGACAGTTGAAGTTTAGACAAATTTATTGAAACATACAGGGTGTTAGCAGAGAAATCATTCAGTGGTATGTTATATCATGCCACTACCTTGAATGTATAATTTTAAAATTATAAATATATATTTTGTCACTAAGCCTTTGGCCAAAAAAATGGAAGTGATTTAGCACATTTGTGAAAGACCAATAAGAAATGGATTTGAACATTAAAAAGATCAAGTCACTGAATTAAACAGCAGCAACCCCTGCTAATCTAGAATCCCACTGCGTTGAAGGTAGAAGTGTCTGTGCAGAGCTAGTCATTGATTTCAGCAATCAGAAGAGATGGGGGCAGGCACACTTGTTGGCGGTGGCGGCAGAGCTGGAAGGACAGGAGAGCCAGGGTCGTCAGGTGAGCATATCCCAGAGACAGCAGCAACAGAGGGCAGTCCAGCAGGCTGTGAGGCAGGTAGATGGGCCCAGGTCATCCCTTCTCTGGTCTTCCACCACATACACTGGAAGGGGAGAGAGGGTGAAAATGAACGGGCACAAACCCCATGCTCTACAGGGCCAACACCTCCCAGACCAAGGGAGAGCTACATACAGCAGCTCAAAGCCACTGAGCAGACTTTGTGCAGCCTTTCCACTTATGCAGTCTTGGGTGAATGGAGGAAGGGTGGCTCAACTACTTTCCCTCCTCCTCCTAAGGACATTCATCCCTGCAGGAGGGCAAGCACTAGGGAACCTAACCAGTGGCCTCACCAAGGCAGCCAGTTAAGTAAGAAATGTCCATTGCTCTCTGGCCAGAGTTGGCTAACCCTACTTGGTTTATAAACCAGGTAGCACTCTGTCCCGAATCCTACAGGGGAACTGGGGGGCATTTCTTTAGATACATCTAAGCCATCTCCCAAGAGCAAGAGAGTAAGTAAAATCTCCTAAAAAGGGGGCTTTAGGCTTTAAAAGATTAGCCAAGAATCTTGGTTTTCATACCTGGCCAATGCAGTATGTGCTCCAGCCTCTAAACTTTTGCACAAAGCAATGGTAGGCAGGATGAAAACCTAGGCAAGTGGGAGGCTATGGCTGGAGCCTGGTACTCTTGCATTTCCTCAGAATGGAGTAGGAAATCTGAGCCCTGTCAGGGCTAAGCGCTGTATTAAGAGATCTGAGTGCCAAACAAATCCCCAGATCAAGAAGGACCCCCAACCACCCTTTACTCGTGAGCTGTGGCTCACGTCAGCCTCGCTTCTCATTAGAATGTCTGATGGTTGACCTTGGCCTCAAAGGATCTGCAGGCACTTTTAAGAAAATCTCAAAACAACCGTCATCAAACTCAGTAATAAGCAGTAAGGATCTTAAACTTTTTGAAAGTTCATGAATACATGAATCTTATAAATTAAACCAGTCCTTTGGCATCTTTTAGTTCTATTTTTGTGTATCTATTTTTATACCTCCTCTCTTGGCAACTCTTTTCTCTAGAGCCTGGTATAGTAAGTAGCTAGAACACGCTGGGTTTAGTGTGAGCTTGTCCAGGTTCTGTTGTATCAGCCGCCCTCCACAGAGACATCCCTTTCCCTTCTGTCACGGCACAGGTCTAATCTCAGCCTGTTTTCATTTGGCCCCTCTCAACACAGACAAAGTTGTTCAGGGTCTGGGAGACAAGACCCACCACCAGGCAAGCCTAGTCAAAGAGGAGGTGACAACCCATTTATTTTTCTGAGGTCTGGTAAGGCACATTACCTGATTTAGTCTTAAGAGTAACTTTGAGATACCATCATTCCCATTTCACAGGTAAGGATCAAGACTTAAGAGAGCTAAGTCTCTTGTTCAGCACAGGACCAGCCAGAGGCAGGATGTGAATTCAGGCCCCAACTGGGTAGCATAGGGACCAGGAGCACAGGGGTGAACGGGCTCCAGGACAGTCCTCTCTCACTCCAGCCGGAGCCCACCCCACCCACCTGGGCACTCCAAACTCTGGGATCACCACAGCAGGGTGTCACCTGCCACCTGCCCAAGTTCCCAGCCTCCCATGATCATGCATGGGTAGTGTTGGACAGGGAAATTGAGAACACAGTTGGCTGTGGACCCCCTTGAATAATCTCTTGCTGTATTCTCCTTGCCACTCTGCTGCCCCTGGGACATAAAGTCCCCCTCCTCTGCCAGCTCTGGAAACAGCCTGTTTAGCCCAGGCCTGAGACCCAGCCCGAGGCTGGTTTGCTATGTGCCAGGTCCTGCAGTCTCTCTTAAACTGGCGTTTACAGAGGTGCTCACGATGTGCCTGGACCTGTGCTGAGGGCCTTTCAGCACCATTTGATCTTCACAACCCTGTGGGACACCTGTCTCCTCACTGCTTCCCCTGCTCCCAGCCCTTCTTCCTCTCAAAACCACTGAACCTCAGGTAACTTAGGGAAACAAAAATGTCCCAGTCTTCCTTCCTCTATCACCTTTCTCTATTAGTCAAGTTTGTCCTTGCCAGGGCTTATTTCACCTGCCATACTCCACAACCTGGGGCAGTAGAGACTGAGCTGATTACTCCCAGACAATGCTTACAGAGGTTAGAAATAATGAGTCTGGTTACAGAACAGAGGACTTTAAGCCAGAGGGCTGCATCAACCTTGACAGGGGTAGTTAGTGCTGTACATACCTTAGAAACCCGAGTCACTTATTTGCTGGAGCACCGAGTCTTCCAAATCCCTTATGACTTTTTCCCTTGCATTAGCTGAGGACAGAACCTGTGCTTCCAGACTGTTAAGAAGATGGGGGTGGAAGAGTGCGTGTGTGGGAGGGTAGGTGCGGAGGTAGGAGTGACTTGTGTTTTCCTTGCTTTTCTTTCCATCACTAAAAGCAGGGATGACTGGCCCAGGAGAAAGCTCTGAGGAAGGCCTCACAGTTCCTCACAGCATGCGCTGTGGGATCCAGAAATTGCATATTTTACAACTGTATCTGCCTAGATGCCCTGCTTACCTGCAGAGTCTGAGGTACTGCACCTTTAGAGGGTGCCTGCTGCACTGAGCTGCAGGCCTAGTCTGCCCCAGGACACCACCCCACCCTGGGGCTTCTGCTCATCTGCCACCTGTCCCCATCCCTGCCACCCAGTAGGTGAATCTGCCTGAGAGCTCCCATACTGCCCTGGCTGAGCCGTTAGGATGCACCTGAGTGCGTGAGTCCTGGGCCATGACAGCCTCCCTGGGTACTTGAAGCCAGGGGACTGTGTACACCACAGCTTTTTTGGTGGTACTGGTTACCCAGCAGGAGCTGGGGCAGAGATGATTCTGATACAGGTGTTTCCACACCCAGGCCACATGGGCCTTCCTGGCAACTGGCCTATACTGGCAAGCTGGGCAGGACCATGGTTATGTAAGATGTTAATCATTAAGGGAAGCTGGATCAACAACAGAAACGGTACTATCTGACTTTTCTGTAATCTAGAATTACTCCAAAATAAAAAAATTTTTTTTTTCTTTTAAAGGAGGAAAGAAATCGAGAGGGATCAAAAGTGCAATGGGTGGAGTTGGGAGCAGTCAGTTCCCAGTGGGGAGCAGAGGGTCTGGTGTCTGCAGAGGCTACTCACGTTGAGTGCCTACTTAGGGATTAAGTGCCCCCTTGTGGCCAGGCTGGGCTCCAGCTCCTTCTGACGCAGGCAGGGCTTTACAGATTGGCTCACACACATATCAGCCAAAAGGCTAACCATCCCATTTCCTATCTAGTGTCTCAGGAGCCAAGACCACCCTATTCAACCAGTGCCGGGATCCTGTGCCCTGGTCCCAGGCAAGGGACTGAAGGGACTCTCCATTTACAGAAAACTGGTTGAGTTGGAGATCAGGTCCAGGGGTCCTTCACCAGCTTGTCTTTCTTGCCTCACACAGCCCTTTGGTACCAACCTTCAATGTTCTCAGCCCCAGCCCAGGGGTGGGGCCTGCAGAGGGCCAGGTATTCAGAGCTTTGCCGTGTGAATGCAAGTGCAAAGGTGGTGGTGGTGGTGAAGGGCA